AGTGCTCGCGTTCGTCTATCGGCAGGGAGTTGCGAATGGCGAAGCGAGCGTGGGCATCACGAGTCTGCCACTGTGAGCGAGCAGTGCTGTCAGCAGTAGCAGCAGGGGCAGTGACAAGGCCTAGGGCGTGATCGTACAGTGAGATGTCATCCTTGGCTGTGAGCTGTAGGTAGAGGTGCAGGTCATCGAGCCAGGTGTCAAACTTCACAGGGCGGCCCTCAGCATCGAACACGAGAACCTGTGGGCTAGCCATAGGAACAGTAGAAATAGCAGCAGTAGCGGTAGGAGAAGCAGGTAGGACGAACCAGGTAGGGCAGGGCGGCGCGGCTCGGTTCAGGTCGGGTCGCGGCTCGGCTGGGTGGCGCGGCTCGGCTCGGGGCGCGCGGCTCGGCTCAGGTCATGGCGGGGACGGGCCGCCCGCTCTCCCTCTTGTGCTGCGGCGGGAACGGGCCGCCCGGGGCCTCTGGGTGGTGGGCACGGGTCGGCGAGGTAGGCACGGGGCCGGTTGGGGCCCTAGAGGGGCGAGCGCGGGGCCGATCGGAGCCTGAGCGGGGCTAGCGCGGGGCCAAACGGGGCCTTGAAGGGGTTAGCAAGGGGCCGACGGGGCCTGAACGGGGCTAGCGCGGGGCCGACGGGGCCTGAAACGGGGCCGAAGGGGCCTGAAACGGGGCTAGCGCGGGCCTGATCGGGTCTGAGAGGGGCTAGCGCGGGGCCGACGGGGCCTGAAACGGGGCCGACGGGGCCTGAAACGGGGCTAGCGCGAGCCGACGGGGCCTGAACGGGGCTAGCGCGGGGCCGACGGGGCCTGAAAAGGGGGCCGACGGGGCCTGAAACGGGGCTAGCGCGGGTCGACGGGGCCTGAGAGGGGCTAGCGTGGGGCCGACGGGGCCTGAAACGGGGCCGACGGGGCCTAAACGGGGCTAGCGCGGGGCCTGAACGGGGCCTTAAAGGGGCCGACGGGGCCTGAACGGGGCTAGCGCGGGGCCGTCAAGAGGGGCCTCTAGGGGCGTGACACGCCGAGGCGCCCTAGGGCACGGGTAGGTAGGTAGGTAGGTAGTGACGTAGTGGTGGGCCCTTAGAAAATTTCGGTCCTAGGAAGGACCTGCTCTATACCATGTTGGAATCACTGAACAGGAATGAATGAACTAGCAATGAAAAGAGTACAAGTACCTAACCCTAGAATTGTGTACCCCCTATAGGCTAACCCACTGTAGCCTAAACTAACACAACATATATAATGTTTGACACCTAGACTTAAGCAGATCTGCCCAGCGAGGGAGCTCGACGTCGTCACCAAACTCAGCACGCCAAGCGACGTCGAGACGGGAGAAGCCGCCCGCAAGTCTGACCAGCACGGTCACATGTGCGAATGACATACGGGCAACTACCCCCAGACGCCCCACGCAGAAACCACTCACGAAGCTGCTGGGGAGACGGGGTCTCGCTCCGACGCTGCTGCTGCTGACGCTGGCCACCCCTAGTACCGACACGTCGAGCGCCAGTCCCACTGCTACCAGTCCCACCGCCTCCACTGCCGCCACTCCCACCGCTGCCTCCACCACCGCCACCAGAGCCCCCACTCCCGCCAACAGTCCCACCGCCGCCACCACCTCCACTGCTGCCCCCACCACCACTCCCGCTGCCACCTCCACCACCGCCGCTGCCACCTCCACCACCCCTGCCACCCTTGCCCTTGCTGCTGCGGCGCTTCGCACTAGCAGAAGCAGCCCCGACGTCCTCAGGAACAGAGACGTCCGCAGCAGCAGTAGAGGCGTAGGAGGGGGCAAGGGGGGAGGGGGAACACCCCTCAAAGAAGGCCGGGCGTGGATTGCCACGAGAAGCACCTACAGCAACTGCACTAGTCTCAGCTGCGAGGAGATGCTTCTCGAGGAGGTCAACAGTGAGGGAGGTGGGGTCAAGAGAGAAGAAGTGGTCCCTAACAGAGCGAAGAGAGTCAGGGAGGCGGGTGACTATAAAGTAGAGAGTGATGTACATCGGGGGCGGGTTCCTGTCAAGGAACTCAGCAGGAACGGCAGCGCGGTAGCGAGCGTCACTAGCGCGAAGGTGGGAAACAAGGTCCTCGACTTTGGCGAAAGCGGACAGCTCGGAGAACAGGTAGGGCAAAAGAAGGCGGCCTAGAGCAGCAGTGGCAGGGGAGGAGTAGCGAGCGACTACAGCGTCGTACAGTGCCTGCGCTGTATTGTGCTGTCCGAAGTGAGCTCATTCAGCTAATGGCAGGTGGTTGCGAATGGCTAAGCGGGCAGCAGCGTCACGAGTAAGCCACTGTGAGCGAGTCGAGCTGTCAGCTGCGGCGCCTGACGCTAGGTCAAACAGTGAGACACAGTCCTTAGAATCGCTCAGTAGGTACAGCTGCAGGTCGTCAAGCCACGTGTCAAACTGAACTGGTCTGCCCTCATGATCAAACGCGAGAACCCAAAGCGAAGCCATAGCTGTGCAGCACGTAGGATAGCAGTAGCAGCAATAGCAGCAGCAGTAGCAGCTGTAGCAGTAGCAGCAGTGACAGTGGGGGGGGGGCGGGCGCTGGCTAGGGACGGGGCCGGGCGCGGGCGAGGTACGGGGCCGGGCGTAGGCTTGGTACGGGGCCGGGTGCGGCTAGGGACCGGGCCAGGCGTTGGGCTAGGTATGGGGCCGGGCGCTGGGCTAGGGACGGGGCCGGGCGCGGGCTAGGTACGGGGCCGGGTGCTGGGCTAGGGACCGGGCCGGGCATGGGCTTGGTACGGGGCCGGGCGCTGGGCGAGGGACGGGGCCGGGCGCGGGCTAGGAACGAAAGGGCGCGGGCTAGGTACGGGGCCGGGCGCGGGCGAGAGACGGGGTCGGGCGTTGGGCGAGGGACGAGGCCAGGCGCGGGCTTGGTACAGGCCGGGCACTGGCTAGGTACGGGCCGGGCGCGGGCTGGTTACGGGGCCGGGCACGAGCAAGAGACGGGGCTGGGCGCTGGGCGAAGGACGGGGCCAGGCGCGGGCTAGGTACGGGCCGGGCGCGGGCTAGGTACGGGCCAGGCGCGGGCTAGGTACGGGGCCAGGCGCGGGCGTGATACGGGCCAGGCGCGGGCTAGGTACGGGGCCAGGCGCGGGCGAGAGACGGGGCCGGGCGCGGGCTAGGTACGGGCCGGTCGCGAGCTAGGTACGGGCTGGTCGCGAGGTAGGTACGGGCCGGGCGCGGGCTAGATACGGGCCGGGCGAGGGCTAGGTACGAGGCCAGGCGCGGGCGAGAGACGGAACCGGGCGCGGGCTAGGTACGGCCGATCGCGGGCTAGGTACGGGCCGGTCACGGGCTAGGGACGGGGCCGGGCGCGGGCTAGGTACGGGTCGGTCGCGGGCTAGGTACGTGCCGGTTGCGGGCTAGGTACGAGGTCAGGCGCGGGGCTAAGGGCCGACGGGGCCGGGCGCGGGCTAAGAACGGGGCCGGGCGCGGGGCTAGGGGCCGACGGGTCGCGGGCTAGGGGTCGACGAGCAGCGTAGGCTAGGAGCGACAGGCCTAGGGGGGGTACTAGTAGCGTAGCAGGTGGTGGGCCCAAGGAACCTGCTCTGATTCCATGTTAGAATAACGAACGAGAATGAATGAACTAGCAAAGAGTTGGGTACAAGTACTAACCCTAATTGGGTTGTACCCCTTATGGGCTACCCCACTAGAGCCTACACAAACGTAAAAGCTATAATGTTCTGACAACCCACAACGCCGGGGACGGTCACATTTTTAATATTCATGTCGAAGAATTTTACGTCCACGCTGATGTTTTCCGCTTCCACTTTCCAGTTGTTGGGATTATACACGAGTGCGGTGACGTTTATTAACGCGGATAGGCCAAGGCGGAAGTTTTCGAGGCCCAGGAACCCGCCGCTGGATTTTGTGATGCCAACGCGGATGATGTTGATTTGCTCGACCTTCACCTCCGGCTGTTGCTTCGAGACTGTCAGGTATGCGACAAGCCCTGCGACGCCTAACAGAGTAAACAATCAATATTCAACACCTGGCTCTTCAACTTGTTCTTGAGCTATTGTTTAGCCTTGAACTCATACTAATACTGACAGAAGAAACTTAAGATGCTTAGCCGTGCAACCCAAAAAATGCCTCAGTAGTTCAGCCCAAATATGTCGACTCTATATGACGCCTGAATGCTTTCCACCATACCACTGATCAGAACTCTAATCTATTCCTCGTGTGAGGGCCAACATGTTGCCGTCAGCAGTCATGGAGTGAGTCGCCAAAGGTAAGGTTGTGAATGTGTCACATGTGAAGCGCCGCTTGTGCTCGATCAAAGAGAGTGGCAAACGACCACAGCGATGCAAACAGCGCCTGCACATGAAAACTCCCCGTGGCAAATGTCAAACATAACTTCAATGTCGGGATGTCAAGGAAAGAGTGCCAACCAACAAATTTGAAGGAATGGTTGTGGGTTGAAGGTTGGTGAACAATTTAACGAGGGAGGGGTATTACATCTGATGTCGACGGTTGGGGTTTTGACTCCCCAAGGTAGCATGCCAGCTGTCGAAGCGTTGACCTGATGGGAGAAAAGATAGGACAGAGAGAATGCCAATGCGCACACCAAGTTCACCAAGACGTTGACACACGGATGTTGCGAATTGGATGTATGTAGGTATGCTACACTACTACGGATGACAACAATTTATACAGTGAATACTACACTCCTAACAGCCATATGAAACTCCCACAGCAGCGCATTGTGCTCACCTGCACTCCTCAGCATCCGTGGCCAGCTCCTCCCTCTCCTTCCTTGCACTCAATCTGAACTCTGCTAGCACAGTCATCAGCCCGCCCTCTCCTACCCTCTTCCCCTTCTGCTGCCTCTCCACCTCACCCTTGCTATCGTGCCCCTTCCCCTGTCCCTCCTCCCTCTCCTTCCGCTCTTCTTCCTCCTCCTCCTGATCTGCCTCCCCCTCCTCCAGCCTCGCCTCTTCTCTCTCCTACTGCAGAAGCCGCACCTCCTCATCCACCAATCGCAGGCCAGTGTCCAGTGCTCACGTGGCATCCGCCACCTCAGCCTGGGACATCCTAACAGCCTCCCCCACTGCTGCCAGCTCTACTGTCAGCTTCCCTCGCCTCCCTGCTCCCCCCTCTCCTCCCTTGTTTCTGACTGCACTGCCCACAAGGCTGCTCCCCAATTCCCCTGCTCCCTCCTCTCCCCCCTCTGCGCTGGTTGAGTTGCTTCCCCTCGTTATAATCACCACCACGTCGAGGAGCGTTGTTGCACCGGCGATCAGGGGCGAGGGATGAGAAGGGTGGGAAGGGTGGGAAGGGAAAGGGGAGGCTGCAGGTGTGGTGGCAGCGAGGGTTGAGGATGTGGGGAACGGGGAGGAGGGACGAGCAGAGGAGGAGGAAGAGGAGGAAAACGGGGAAGGGGATGGGGAGGACGAGGACAAGGAGGAGGAGGTGGATGAGGGGGCATTGGCACGAGTGACAGGGAAGGACTGTGTGCGCGAGAATCGAGAGCCAGGAGGCAGAATCTGGGAGGAGTTTGACTTCTGCGTCGACTCAGAAGCCACCTGGGAGGCGGTTAACAGTGTGTCGAGGCCCTTGGCATGGTGGGATGGAGGAGTGACTCGCACCTCTGACAGGCGGGCGAGGGAATCCAGAGAGAACCCGCGGGCTGAACCTGGAAATCAGGGGGGATGGAGGAGGGGGGGAAGGGTGAGAAGGGGATGAGAGAGTGTCGCATGTGGGGCTTTTTATAAGAGGATCTTATGAGTGTTGGTTTTTTTTGCACCAGTTTCGCTACTTTCCCTTTCCCTGCCTGCCATTCCCAACCCTTGCCACTTCCCCCAATGCTTCCCGTACTAGACCTATGGTTCCCGTCCCACCCCTCTCCAACCCTTCCCAACCCACTCGACCCCGTCTCACCGTGCTTCACCACAACTCACCCCTTGCTCTGCCTCGGTTGAGCTCGTTCCCCACTTCAAGCGCCGCTGCAAGCGCTGCCCGGAAAATCTTGCTGCTGCGAATCGCTCGGGCTGCAGGACAAAAAACTTTTATGACTGCCCGGGCATCATTGACTATGGTGTGAAAATGCCGCACAAACATTAGCGCCTCGATTTTCCTCCTCATTCTTGGGATCAGGGATATGGACCAAAGGAAGCGCTCAGGTGCACACATGGCACCTGAAGCAGCACCTGAGACTGCTCTGAACCTCGCCGCCTCCTCTGTTGGAATCACCTGAAGCAGCAGGCCCAGGCGGTCAGGTGGCAGCACGTGCTTAGGATCTCCTGCGAGGATCAGATCTCGGATTTGATTCTCGGGCATGCGGAATTGAGTGAGCATGATGGCTACGTTGTTGGCGCGAGCCAAACCAACCACTTGCAACTCATCTTTCCCTAGTCCCTTCCTCCCCCCCTGTCCTCCCCCTTCTCCTTGGACCCCTCCTCCTGTCTTCGACTTTCCACCTGATTTTGTTCCTTTTACCTGAAAAAGCACCCGGATGGCTTGTCTCATGTCATCTGGTAGTGTCACCTTCGATACAAGACTGCTACAGCTATTGCTTTTGCTCTCCCCATCCCCTACTGTCTCTTCTCTCTCCTCTTCAACCACTCTCTCTCTTTCTATCTCCTCCCATACTGTCCCTTTCACATTAGTCACTTTAGACCAGTGCAAGGGGCGGGCAGGGGGGAAAAGGTCCCCTTCCCCCTCCACCCTCCCCCCTTCCCCTTCTCCCTGCTTTCCCCCCATCACAGGCGCAGCAAGCTTGCCTGAGGCTAGGCGGATAGGGGGAGGGGGAGGGGGGGGACGGCCGGAGGGAGGGGGAGGGGGAGGCGGAGGAGGGGTTGGGTGAGGAGGGGGGGCTTGGGTAGGTTGAACGGGTGTGGTTTTGAGAGGGGGAGAGGAGGGAGGTGGAGGATGTGCCTCCGCTGCTGCTCCTGCTGCTCCTCTAGATGATGATGATGATGATAGTGTTGGTACTTGTGCTGCTGATGCCGCTGCTGCTGCTGCTGCTGTTGAGGGTGATAATGAGAACGCTTCAGGTAGAGAAGCAATTGGTTCTGTTCCTCTTGTCATGTGGCCGGCCGGACGAGTGGCACTTGCTCTCAAGTGATCCCCTTTTGCTTCACCCGCCCCTGCTCTCCACTCTCCTCCTGCTTCTCTCACCTCCCTCACTACCCTCATATCCTCACTACCCATGCCCTTGCCTTCCCACTTTCCCCCCATTGCATCCCCACTACCCATGCCCTCCCAATCCCCTCCCATACCATCCGTGCTCCCCACACTCCCCTCCCCACCTATAGCGCTCACATCCACTCCCCAATTCCCCATGCTCTGCCTCTCTTCCCCCATCCCCTCCGCACCCCCCATGCTCCCCTCCCACCTCATCCCCCCCGCAAACCCCATGGTCCCCTTCCCCCCTATACTCCCTTCCTGCCCCATCCTTTCTGCACCCCCCACCATGCTCCCCTCACCCACGGCTCTCCCCTTCACACTCCCACCCCCAATGCTGTGCCTCTCCCCCCCTTCTCAAATCTCACACCCTTGCTGTGCCTGTCGCCCCCCTTTAACCCCCCACCCGCCACGCTATGCCGTTCGCCCCCCCTTGACCCCCCAGGCCCCATGCCATGCCTGTCAACCCCTTTCAAGGCCCCACCGCCCATGCTATGGCGCGAGCCTGTAGACAGAGACATGCGAATGAGGAGATCAGCTAGAGAGTCGAGCTCCTGTGACGGCTGGCTTGCGGAGGAGAGAGGAGCAGCAGAGGAGGAATGGGAGAGGCTGAAATCTTCGGAAAGGGATGCAAGTTGGGGGAGGGGTGAGTGGGGAAGGGGCGAGTGGGGGGAGGGCGGCATGTGAGGCGTTGTGGGAGTGGGAGGGAACTCGTATCGAGAGGACATCACTTCAGGCGACATGAACGCTGTTCCGGGCGGCATGGATGCCACACCGGGCGGCATGGACAGCACACACAGCATGCCCGGGTGGCTTGCTTGCCCTGTGTGGCGCAGGAGAGGGTGGGCTTGCACCTCTGTCACCAGGCTGCGAGCCAGGCTCCTCCTCTCATCCCCCACCCCATCCCCCACTGCATCCCTCCGGTCCCTCTGTTGCTCTTGCAACGGAGGCACCCTGCCCCTCCGGTCTACTGCCTCCGTTGCAAGAGCACTTTGAGAAATCTCCCGTTTGAAATGCTCTTGCTGATCCGATGTGAACGTGCTGCTGCCTCTCCCGTTCACTCCTTCCTCTCCCTCCCGCTCACTCCCCTCTGCCTCAGCTCTCCCCAGCCTCGTCTCTTCCCTCTCTTGAGCCATCCGCTGCTTCCTGGAAGCTTCCACAAAGTCGTCCCGGTACGCCGCCAGAAGCTGCTGCCACGTCAGCATCGTGCCAGCTGGCGCGCCGTCGGGGTTGGCGTCGGCCAATGTCACGCCGCCACGTGGCTGCGGCATATCTATCAGCACGTCGATGAAGAAATCGGCCGGTACTTGGATGTCCCCCCCGTATGCACAGTCAAGCTGGTTCGGGGAAAGGAGGAGGAGGGGGAGAAGGGAAAGAGAAGGCAGGGTCTGCTTGCTAGGGTCTGCAGTCACTTGGATGTCTCCCCGTCGGCACAGTTGAGTTGACGAGCAGGGGATGGGAGAGGGAAGGGGGTGTGCAGGCGGGGAAGAAGGGAGAGGTGGGCGTGGTATCTCTGTGAGTACATTATTGAAGTCCCCCTATCCTTTCCTCAATGAAGAAGGCACTTGGATGTCTCCCCCGTAGGCACAGTCGAGCTGCTGGGGTGGTAGAAAAGGGGGTGAACGGAGGGGAGGAAAAGTGAAGCAGTAGAGGAGGAGCTGAGCTGGTTGGGTACTAAGAGGGGAAATCGGCGGGTAATTGCCTCCCCCATACGCACAGTCGAGCAGATGGGGTGGTAGAAAAAGGGGAGAAGGGTGGAGGGGATAGAGATGGGAAGAGGAGGGTGTACGAGCCCATTCTGGTAAGGAGGGTGTAGGAACTTAACAAGAATACAACAAGGGAGAAGGGCGGAGGTGAATCCACGCCTTACCTTACCTCATGTAGGGCTATTCACGTGTTAATCCGTAAAAGGTTATTCAAGTGAGACCGGTGCTCTAAGGGAAGAAGAGTAGGGCGGTACAGGGGAAGGCGTTACCTCGTGAAGGGTTATTCGAGTGAGGCCGATGCGTAGGAAAGCCGAGTGGAAAGCGAAGACAAACACGGGCTCGCTCTCGTCCCTGCTGCTGTTGCCTGGCGGGTAGGGGGATGTGGAATGGAGAGCGAGAATTAACAATCATTGAGACAACTCAAATGCAACGACAAGCACGAGACTGCACTCTTTCTCCCTGCTGCTGGTATTTGGGAGGTACGAAGATGAAGCGTCTATTTCTGAGGCGCCTCAAAAATAGAGTGCTGCTTAGTACTCAAGAGGTACAGAGATTAGGCGAGAGGGGTAGAGAGTGAAAGCCGTGAGGGGGTTCTGACAAAGGGTATGGGGCAGAGAACTCAATACACCGTATGGAGTATGCCCTTTGCACACGTCTAACCTGCCTAGATGCTACCTCTTCAAATCCGGCCTACCTAGACTCCCTCCTGTATTACATGCCAAAGTCACAGCACCGAGCCTTTTTCTCCAGGTATTATCAGTCCAGATGCGCATTGGCTAAATGCTACCTGCCCATATCCTACCTCCCCACGTGTTACGCTACCTCCCCACATGCTATCTCCCCACGTGGTATCTCCCCACGTGCTACCTCCCCATGTGCTACCTCTCCACATGCTACCTCCCCACATGCTACCTCCTCACGTGCTACCTCCCCACGAGCTACCTTCCCAAATGCTACCTGTCCACTGATGCACGGCGAATGCACAGTCGCCCCACACAGGGGCGTTGACCTCGAAGGGCACCATCCACGCTGACCCCGTGGGGAAGGATGGCAGCACCTGGAGGTTGGGGGTGACAGGGCCGACAGGGGGAGACTAAGGGAAAGGGGGAAGGCACAGTCAGTCACCCCACACAGGGGCGTTGACCTCGAAGGGCACCATCCACGCTGACCCCGTGGGGAAGGATGGAGGAACCTGGAGGTTGGGGGGAGGGGGGACGGGGGAATGGGGAAGTGGGTAAGGCACAGTCAGTCGCCCCACACAGGGGCGTTGATCTCAAAGGGCACCATCCAGGCTGAACCAGTAGGGAAGGAGGGCGGCACCTGGAGGTACGCGGGTGGGAAGGGTGGGGAGTGGGGAAGGGGGGAATGAGGCGATGGGGAAAGGGGGGAGGCATAGTCAGTCGCCCCACACAGGGGCGTTGACCTCAAAGGGCGCCATCCAGGCTGACCCCGTGGGGAAGGATGGAGGAACCTGGAGGTAGGTGGCAAGGGGAGGGTAACGGGTGGAGATTGGGGTAAGAGCAGAGGAGATTAAAAATGAAAAATAAAGAGGAGAGGAGAGGCAAGGATGGCAAAGGCAGGGTTGTTTCCCAATCAACCCCTTTGTTTCCCCATCTGCCCCATTGCTTCTTCATCTAACCCGTTGATTCCCGACCTAACCCTTTGTCTCCCCATCTACCCCTTTTCTCTCCCACCCACCCTTTTTGCTTTTCCATCTGCCCACTCTGCCCCTCGCTTCACCTCCCCCACGCCTCACCTCCCCCACAACTCACTTCCCCCACGCTTCACCTCCCCCACGCCTCACCTCCCCCACAACTCACTTCCCCCACACTTCACCTCCCCCACGCCTCACCTCCCCACAAATCACTTCCCCCACACTTCACCTCCCCCACGCCTCACCTCCCCCACAACTCACTTCCTCCACGCTTCACCTCCCCCACGCCTCACCTCCCCCACAACTCACTTCCCCCACGCTTCACCTCCCCCACGCCTCACCTCCCCAGGCAAGTCACTGCTGCTCACTTGTGCTCCCCTCCGAAACACCTGGCACAGCCAAGGGTAACCGCCAGATAATGATTAGCAGTGCACGGCATAGCAGCATAGCATACATACATGGGGTGTGGTGGGCGATGCATGCATGTGAGCAGCTTGCTTGACAAGAGTATATTCACGGCATAGCACGATGCTATTCAAGTGTGCACCCATCATTGCACAGCACACACCCTCCCCATCACTACATACTCTCGCTGCTGCCGGCCATGAGAGACAACTGCTGCCGACCCACCTTAAGATACGGCCGAAAGTCGCCGGCCCCATCAATGGATGGGCATGCGCTGAGGATAAGCTTCCGAAGAATAGGGGCGGCGGGTGGCAGGGAGGCGAGTGATGGCTGGCAGGGGGGAGGAAATGGGAGAGGGAGGGGGGAGGGGAGAGAGAGGGGGGAGGGGAGAGAGTGGGGGAAGGGGAGAGAGAGGGGGAAGGGGAGAGAGAGGGGGAAGGGGAGAGAGAGGGGGAAGGGGAGAGAGAGGGGGACGCGGGGTGGGAGGGGGAAGCGGGGTGGGAGGGGGAAGCGGGGTGGGAGGGGGGAGCGGGGTGGGAGGGGGAAGCGGGGTGGGAGGGGGAAGCGGGGTGGGAGGGGGAAGCGGGGTGGGAGGGGGGAGCGGGGTGGGAGGGGGAAGCGGGGTGGGAGGGGGAAGCGGGGTGGGAGGGGGAAGCGGGGTGGGAGGGGGAAGCGGGGTGGGAGGGGGAAGCGGGGTGGGAGGGGGAAGCGGGGTGGGAGGGGGAAGCGGGGTGGGAGGGGGAAGCGGGGTGGGAGGGGGAAGCGGGGTGGGAGGGAGGAGCGGGGTGGGAGGGGGAAGCGGGGTGGGAGGGGGAAGCGGGGTGGGAGGGGGGAGCGGGGTGGGAGGGGGAAGCGGGGTGGGAGGGGGAAGCGGGGTGGGAGGGGGAAGCGGGGTGGGAGGGGGAAGCGGGGTGGGAGGGGGAAGCGGGGTGGGAGGGGGAAGCGGGGTGGGAGGGGGAAGCGATTGTTGAGTGGGAACTGGTTGTTGAGTGGGAAGCGCTTGAAATTTCAGGGCAGCTCTAGGTATGAACAGTAGCTTAGTTATGGATAGTAATCAAACAACAAAAAGTACAAAACTAAGGGAGCGCATTCCCGAATTTGTGTGAAACCCTGTGCCAGGGACTGACACAAAGTCAGGAATATGCCCTGAAAAAACAAGCAAACGCCTACTGAGGGAGTGTGGCGACGCCTACGGTATCCCTAAAACCTACACTGCTAGTGCTCCCTTTACAGTGAGATGCTGGGTGTACACTGCTCGTTGTACTTCTTAGCGGAAAACGGGTCCAGCTGCATCGTGCATTCCACATGCACCATAACGCGCGGCGACGAGATGCCCCAGTATTTCACGCGCGCTGCAGTGCCAACCACCACCCGCATTTCCGCGCGCCCATGCAGCAGCGGCGTCGTCAGCAGGCTCGCGGGACTCAGCGTCGCCAGGGGCGCGTCGACAATATCAAGGGGGACAGTCAACTCCGCGCTCCCACCCTTGCTCATACCCACGACGCCGGGGACGGTCACATTTGTAATATTCATGTCGAAGAATTTTACGTCCACGCTGATGTTTTCCGCTTCCACTTCCCAGTTGTTGGGATTATACACGAGCGCGGTGACGTTTATTAACGCGGATAGGCCAAGGCGGAAGTTTTCGAGGCCCAGGAACCCGCCGCCGGATTTTGTGATGCCGACGCGGATGATGTTGATTTGCTCGACCTTCACCTCCGGCTGTTGCTTAGAGACTGTCAGGTATGCGACGAGCCCTGCGACGCCTAATCCGACGATAACGACGGCGAGGACGATGAGCGACCAGCATGCGACGCGGCAGCAGCAGGTCCGGAGACGACGCCTTTCGCGATCCTTCTCGTCCTTGCGAAGCTTTTCTACGTCGTCTGCAGTGCTGGTTACTTCCTCAGGGTTGGCGATGTGCAAATCGGAAGGGTAAATTGCGGTGAACTCTCCCGGATTCTCCTCATTCGCGCTGCCACTTGCGGGAAACGCGTTCTTTGCGAGCGGTGCGCAGCAAAAGAGTGGGAGCGAGTTTCTGGGTGGCGACGAGGAGGCGGGGAGCGTGGCGTCTGGAGCGGAGAAAGTTGCTGCTCCTGATTCGATGTCTTCAATCTTGGAGCAATCGTTCTTGAGAGCCATGCCTGTAGTGTCTACGCTGAGCTGAGTTCGTCAGAGATGCAGTGGATTTGGGAACGGTTCAAGGTGCTTCGGACGGTAAAGGAGTTGTACGAAGTGGTTGGAGTGGCGTTGGGATGTCGAGTAGTTGTGAAGTCGAGTTGCTTCGAATTGGTCTGTTTTGCAAACCCTTGTTCTCGTGCATTTATCGTGCAAATGGGGGCGACCAATGCCAAATCCGTACCCCCACATTCCTCCCTCCATGCACATTCCCTGAACCGAGTCGCGCCCAGGGTGACGCGGTCCGCTGTGTGTGCTTGGGGAAGTTGCGGAAGCGAAGCTTCATTCCCCTGGGTGACGGGATGCGGACAAACGAGCCAGACGAACCAGACAACACGGCTCGGTGAGTCTCCAGTCGCCCTGAACCTCAACCAGCCTAGCCTAAGCTTCAGGTTACGCTCGATTGTTTTCGTCGTTACAGACCAGACCAGCACGCTATGAGGCAATCCGAAATAGCTAACAGCAGTAAAACATGAAAGATAATTGGCATGCATATTTTGTTCTAGTTGTTGGAGCCTTTTCACTGCTGACCTCACATTGTTGGCAGTGAGTATGATACGTTGAGATTCCACGCAGTAAAACTGTGCTTCAAAGCGTCTGCCCAACAACCAGAAACATTCTAGTGAATTTGTTCATTTTGACTCCACACATTACCCTTCAAAATCTGTCTTCCTCTCCACAGTCTCCACCCCACCCACACATCCCATTCAAATTTCCATATGATTCTTGACATTGGAATTCTCAAGCCTTCGTAATTTGTGATGGTTAAGTGAGTCATGTAAGGTCGTATAAGTAATGTTGCGCTGAAAAGGTCCTTAGGATCGTTTCAAGACTAAACTCTCAGAGTAGAGATGTATTGTCAAATGTTGTAGCCTCAGTGAGGTTTGTCTTAGGGGGTACAGAAGTTAGGGTTTGTTATATGTACCCCAACTCACATCAATGACATCATTAGTTCCTTTCTTGACATGGTATCACCTAGGTTCGGATCCTGTGGGATCCCGCTCCTCCCGACCTCGTTCGTTTTGCTCGAACCTGTCTCACTCTGTCGTACTAGTTGCGCACGTCTTACCCGAGCCTAGCGCCAGCCCGCTATAATCGCGTTCGTTCGTTACCGCCCGTTCCGCCGATCCACTACTCTCGTAGAGTAGGGACCTTCTCCCCCCCCCCCCCCCTCCCCCGTGCTGCCGGTCGCGTTTCCCCCCCCATGCTGCCCGTCGAGTCGCGTTTTCCCCCCCAGCTGCCCGTCGAGTCGCGTTTTTACCCACCGCTGCCCGTCGAATCGCGCCTTCCCCTGCCCCCGTCGCGTCGCGCTCTCCCCGCCCGTCGTCCCGTCGTGCCCTCCCCCGCTGCTCGTCGCGACGCGCCCTCCCCCCGCTGCCCTAAACGCCCGTCGCGTAGCGCCTGCCCGCCGTCGCGTCCCTACCCTCGCCCTACGCGCCCGCCGCGTCGTCCCTACACCCGCGCGCCCGCTGCGCCCGCGCCTCCCCGCGCCCTACGCCCTGCGCCCGTCGCCCGTCGCCTCCCTACGCCCTGCGCCCTGCACCCGCGCCTCCCCGTGCCCTGCGCCCTGCGCCCCTTGCCTCCCCGCGCCCTGAGCCCTGCGCCCGCGCCTCCCCGCGCCCTGCGCCTGAGTGCTCGCTGCGCCCGTTTCTAAGCACGCCCGCCCTTCGCCCGCTGTGCTGTCTCTTCTCTGTCTGCACGCGTGCCTGCTTGCTCGCGCTGCCACGTCTGCTCGTTTCTCCGCCGCTGCGCCTGCTTTTTAGGCCTGCCGCGAGCCCTCCCTCTGCTCTACTACGCGTCCTTTCGCTCGTACTTCCACTATGGCGACTCCTAGAGTTCTCCGTTTTGACACTGACGGTCGACCCCTCGAATTCTCGGTCTAGCTCCTGCGCGCGCGTCGCCTTTTAGAGAGTCAGGTCCAGTCGGGTGAGTCCCTCTGGGCGCACGCTACTGGTGACCTTCCTGCGCCCGACGACCCTACCCCTCTAGGCTCTGCCCCTGACGACGCTGCTAGAGCCCGCTTTGCCAGCCAGCGTGCTGACCTGACGGCGTGGAAGTCGCGTGACGCTGCGGCCTGCATCGCTCTTAGCAGCCTCCTCCCTGAGTCTGAGGAGGCCCACTTCACTCAGGTTCGCACTGCTAGTGAGTTCCTGACTGCGATCAAGGCCCGCTACGCTACTCCCACCACTGTCTCTCTTGGCCGCCTCTTCCTACCGTTCTTGTTCCCGGACCTTGCTTCGTTTGAGCGCTCTGCTGACTTGATTGCTCACCTCCGCTCGCTCGATTCTAGCTACCGCGCTGCTTGCACTGACGCACAGCTTGCACTGCTCCCTCCCCCCAAGGCGATTACTATCTACTTCATCGCCACTAGCCTCCCTGACCGCCTTGCCTCGGTTCGTGACGCGCTTCTCCTGGAGCACCCTAGTGAGCTCACTATCGAGGTCCTAGAGTCTGCGCTCAAGGACGTCGAGAGCAACCTCCGCTCATTAGCCTCCGCCTCTGGTGCTGTGCCCCCTCCACCGTTTCACAGGTGCACTGTCCCTCAGCTGCCCACCTTTACTGCCTCCCTAGCCACTGCCAGAACTGTTATAGTCACAATAGGCTTGAATGTGCCTAAAACGAAAGATAGAGAGCACAGACGGATTTCTGCACAGCGGCTTCAAACGTTGATAGCGTTCTGCTCACAGCTGCAAATGACTTGATTCAAATTGGATCTGGAGCGTCTTCACGTCGTCTACAATTATCAATTTAGATTGCACGATTTGATAAAGAATTGACGACACAGCGTCGGTTTGAACGAACGGTACTATGGCAGCCACTATAGTCTTAGAACACAAGATAGGAAGAGTTACGAGTTGGGAATGACTCCCAGCTCCTACAAACCCCAAGAGCCGAGGTACAGTGATGTGGAACAGTGCCACACTGTCCCCAACCACGAAGGGTCTCGAAACTACCCTTCACTAGGGCCTACACCAAGTGAAATGTTACACTACACAAAGTAATGTAACTATCTTCAATATCTTGAGGTGTACCCTTTTGGCAAGCTTCGAAATCACTTGAGGCTTGACACCAAGGCTCGGGCTCTTCATCACAAACTCATCCTTGAGTTCTTGATGGGTCTGCTGCACACACCTGCGACACGCCGAACGTTCGACACAGGACAAAATAGAAACCGCGCACGACAAAATAGAAACCGCGCGCGAGACACAAACGACCGCGTAACACGCGTCTAGCGATAACTCGCTATTGACTCGACACACACACTCGACATCATGACTCAACATTCACACACAATTATAAGCATGAAATATATATTATCCCATGCCCTCATACCATTCCATACACACACACATTCACGCACACGGACAACAAGCCGAGTGCAAACCGTAGGGTTGCACCAACAAACTCCCCCTCGGATTGTTGGCCTTAGGATATGTTGCTCTCTCAGTTCAGAGCCATCCCAGCCAGCTTGCAACACTTCCAATGCTGCTGCTCCACCAGCCTCTTGGTCATCATGTCAGCCGGCTGCCCCGTGGTCTTCACGTAGCGCAACTCAACTTCACCCGCGGTTACCATGCTCCTCGTCCAATGCCACTTCACCCTCATGTGCTTCGTGAGTCCATGCAACACAGGGTTCTTAGCAAGAGCAATGGCACCCTGGCTGTCACAGTACAGTGGGGTAGGTCCTTGCTGCTCCTCCCCCAATTCAGCCAACAAACGCCGCTGCCACACAATCTCCCGTACGGCACGGAAGAGTGCCATGTACTCGGACTCCACCGAGCTCAAAGCTTGGTCAACCTGCTTCTTGCTCTCCCAAGCAGTTGGGCCTCCACCAACACAGCATATGAAGCCTCCCACACTTGTCATGTCCTCTGGTTCTGATGCATATGAAGCATCCGAGTAGGCGGTGAGGAACAAACGCCCGGGTTCAACACCATCCGCGCCCTTTTGGCGCCTTTGTGCCGCCGCCGAGTATTGCAGCCCAACGGTCGGTGTTTGGCCAAGATACTTGGCCACCCTCATTCCAGCTGCTACCTGCTCCTCATTAGGGCATTGCACAACCCTAGCCAGCTGCCCGGTAGCAAACGCGACGTCCGGTCGGGTGTTTACCGCCGCATACATGAGGCTGCCCACCAACGAGTGAAATCGGCGCCTCTCCTCTTCACCAACGCTCTCCTCCTCTGGTCCCTTCACACACTTGAACCCAGAGGGAAAGGGTGTAGCCACATGGCCTTCACTCTGCCCAAAGTTGGCAGCCAATGCCTCCAGGTACTTTCGTTGATGCACCCGCATGCACCGCTTCTCCACATCTCGTTCGATGTGGAGCCCAAGGTAGAAGCTCACGTCACCAAGGGCCTTGCACTTGAACTTGTCTTGAAGCTTCAGCATCACCTCCTTCACAAGGTCAGAAGAGGGTGAGAAAATGAGGATGTCATCCACATAAACCACCATGAAACTCCTCTGCTCCCCCTCGCCAAGCATGAACAAGGAGTGATCGGCCGTTGAGGGAGTGAAGCCGATCCCCTCCAACACTTCGCGCAGCTTCATGTACCATTGCCTAGGGGCCTGCTTCAGCCCATAGAGGGCCTTCTTCAGCTTCCACACTCTGCCACTACCATCATCAAACCCCTCTGGCTGCGCCATAAAAATCTCCTCCTCAAGGATGCCGTTAAGGAATGCCGTTACGATGTCCATTTGCTTTACTACCCATCCTTTGATGGCGGCTCCCGCGAATAGGGTTCGCAGCGTCGTCGGCTTCACCACAGGGGCAAACAGCTCCTTGAAGTCCACCTTCTCCTTCTGCTGGTACCCCTTGGCTACAAGCCTAGACTTGTAGCGCTCGATCTTGCCGTCGGCATCCGACTTGATTTTGAAGAGCCACTTGGACGTTATCGCTGTACGCCCCTCCGGTAGCTCCACCAATTCAAACGTGTCATTCTCCTCGATGCTCTTCAGCTCACTCT